CAGGAGGGGTTTCTCTTGCTCCCCTTCCTGGGAGCTGTGCATTCCTGTCTCCAAATCTAGACAGACTCTGGCTGGGCCCACGTGGCTTACCAGACCCACCCCACCCTGGGACCCCAGAGGCACCGTATACCCTGGAGCACTTGCATCCTGCAGGCACGGGCGGGAATGGATCCCAGTCCCCTTCACAGGGGGTAACCAAGGCTCAGAGAGCTCAGTCACGGCCCAGGTTGCACAGCAGGGATGCAGAGCCCATGGGCCTGAGCTCACGACCCTGCTCATTACACACACACAGCCCTGTACCCAGGAGCACCCGGTTGGGCAGGACAGGCCGACGAGGGACAGACGGAGCAGGGGTTCAGAGATGGAGAAGGGATCATATCTCAGCCCTGCTGGCTGACCAAGGGGTCGGGCCCGCCGGCACCTTTCCGATCTATAGCTCTTTCATCCCCAGGACGGATCCCATGATGCTGGCCTCAGCTGCTTTGGAAGAGAAGGGAATCCAGTTAATCCGATAAGAGCCTCAACCAAAAATCTCCAAACAGTAATTCGAGTTAATGGGAAGATGTTGAAAGCTCTCCCTCTGAGGCCGCAAGGACGCACCAATGCCCACAGGCAGCCTTTCTACTCAAGGTCAGCCTGGACGCGGCCGGGGGCGGGGAGAGTTCCTAAAGAGACAATACTGCCTTTATTTCCAGACGGGCGGCTGCCCGCGCCCAGGGTCCCGCGAACCTAGAGAGAAACAAGGGTGGCGAATAAGGGGTTTAGCTGAGTCGCTGGATTCAAAATCTATCCGCAAGATTCAACTCTAATTCTCTGTATTAGCAACTACGTTGGAAAGACAGACTTTCATAAATAGACTTTATTTGCAGCATCTAAAATCCAGCAGTCACGCGCAGGATCACCGCAGGGAAAATCAGAAATCACTGCGAGAGACACTGCAGGGAGCCGCTCCTGGGCTAGGGCCCCCCAGACCGTCCCCGAAAGTCCCTTCTTTCCAAACTGATGCGCAGAACCAAAGGCGCTTCTGTCCCAGACCCAGGCACGCGCCCGCGGGGGTAAAATGCTGACTCCCAGACGTCCGTGGGAATGCGGCCTGGATTCA